TAGTAGTATACGTGTGTGTATATATATATATATATATATATATATATCTCGCTAAGCGGTACTTGTTCGATATTCAGACGCGCTTTTATTTCGCGGCCACTATTAAAACGCGAAAGATTCATTTGTTTTCAAATTTGATAACTGTGAGTGCTTTCCATTTAGTGACACAAGTCGACACAAGTATCATTTTATCCTTGTTAATCGTTAAATGCCGAGAAAAATAGAACGATATTTGTGTCGATTTGTGTCACTAAATGGGAAGCATCCTGTATAAATTTAATCACCCGATCGAATCGAATCTTAACAGTCCAATCGAATTTTAACAGTTATTGGCGTATCGTATAACTTTTTTAAAGCGTTTTTGATTATGGTCTTTTCGTACAACAGAATATATTCATCCTTGAGGTTTAAAATCTATCGTATTAAAATTCAATTAATTTATTTATTGTTTCGATTCTGTGTCGATTGAAGTTTCAAATATACGTGCATAGCGATTCAAGTATTTGCAACTGGTGCGTTACAGCAAACGCTGTAGAATTTCAATTTGCATTTAGGAGATGGTGTAAGAGACTACAGAGACCTCTCTGGGAGTAGACGCGAGTCACGGGTTTGTAATTTTTGCGTTACATCACGAATACAGAGGATATTTTTATAATTTATAATAGAACACCTCCATTCCATTCTTTTGTATATCTCAGATCTTCCTCTATTATGAAACAACCATCCTCCTAAAAACTGGAATTTCCCTTTATGTTATTTATGTTTTTATGCCACAAAATTCTGTGCATGCCATTAAACACTCAATGAGCAAAATATTAGCAATAAGTTAGCAACTTTTATAAAAATTTCAACAGACTGACGACGGATGGACATCTGTTAGCCTTACTAAGTTCTATATTAAGCTCATGTCTCGCCAGTAGAATCATCGGCCGATATAATATGATAATAGTATACGTCATTTAAATTAGAAAATATATTGATTAGAAAATTCTGTCTAATTTCTGCGGCCAATCTATCGTTATATACTACATATTGTTTAAATTTAAAGCAGATAAAATTTGCAATAAACGTTTTATTATTTTTGATATATTTAGATTACCTATCTCTGAAAGGATAAGGATAAGGATTAAGAGTAGATATAGGGGTAACTTCGTAATATAATAAAGAAGTCTTATAATTTTTATATTTTTTATAATTACAATGTAAGTATAATATTTGAATCGTCGCAATGCGATCATTTCAAAACGTTTTTTAAGAAAATGTTTGCTGCTATTAATAAATATGAAGATGATTACAAAACCAAAGTTTTATTTATTATGAATTAAAAAAAATTAAATTATAAAATTTGATTTTATAATAAACTTTCTAATTACATGAGAAACAAAATTTCTGTTTTTTATCGTTGGACTGAACTAAAACTTTCTTTCGCCAAACTTCAAAACATATATCTATTTCATTTTAAATACAACGAATGTACACTCTCTCTAGTTTAGCTACAAAGAATAGATTTTATTATTGTATGCAATGCTTTATATGATATAAAAATCTATACAAAATAGTTTCGATTTATACAAAATTCTTGAAAACTTATTAAACTTTGCTTATCAATAATAATTTTATTCATAATTTTGGAAAAGTATCATCTAGAGTTGTAATTATTTTCCATCTGGATCAATGAACGTCTCTAGATAATTTCTTTAAAATTGGTTCTATTATGTTTGCAAATACAGGAAACTGTGTCAAAATAATTAAATACATTAAATATTTGTAATAAATAATTAAATACATCAGTTAAATATTTGTAATTTATTCTTTGATTTGAGCAGGAAGTCTTAAGATGGATGGTGGGTGACAATTTCCGTACTGACAACGCGATCAAAACATAACCTATGTATAGATCGTTCATCGCATCTCGTTGTTGTACGTAGTGATTTGATCGAGTGAAAATGTCGTTGAAAAGGAAACTGACTCAAGACGATTTGCGTAAGGCAATGAATGAACATAAGAAGAAACTGGGTATTAAGAAGATCGACTCGCCGCTAGCAAAATATCCTTTTTGTAATTCTGTAGTGTAGAAATTTGAGGTTAACATAGTGTGTTCTTATAGTTTAAAATGATCATGTTAACATACTGTCTTTAAAAATCAATGAAAAATTCATTGTTAATAATTTTTATATTTATATTATATAATGCATTTATTAAATTTAAATATTTTTTATTAAATATTTAAAATTTTATTATGACTACAACGTACAATAATACTTTGACAATTACGAATACTTTAAAATTTGTTTAAATTAAGTTGATGTAATTATAAAGTGAAACGCATATTGACATATATGCATGTTTTCTTGTTATTTTACATGTCTTAATCTTTCCGATTTAATCGAATTTGAAAAGATCCTTAACTGATAAATACGTATACAGATTCAGGTCAGTTAATGTGTATTTTATGCAAATCTGTAGTGCGTAGTGAAACAGTTTGGCCTGTTCACTTGAATTCCAAAATGCACAAAGATAATGTTGCATTAGCAAAAAAGACTAAACTTGAAACTGAAGGTGCAGTAAAGGCATCTGACGGTCAATCATTCAAGAGACCTTCTTCTCCACCTCAAAATCCTCCTATGAATAAGAAGATAAAAGGGATATTGAAAAACTCGAGTCAGTCAGTAGTACAAACCAGATCAAATTTACCAGCAGATTTTTTTGATGATAATTTGAAACAAGTTAACAGTGTATCTTCAATGCAAAATTTAGAGAGTAAAGATTCTATAGTTAATACTGTAGATGTACAACATGTGGAAGAAGAAGAAGAAGAAGAAGAAGAAGAAGAAGAAGAAAAAGAGAAAGAAAAAGTAAAGGATACAAATTTAGCTGTTCTTCCAGAAGGATTTTTTGATGACCCCATAATGGATGCTAAAGTAAGATTGTTATAAGAATAAACTACAGCGCTATGTTAAAATTTATTAACATAAACGTTAACAATATGTAATTATTTTTTAAACAATATAAAAACAATATTAAAATGTAATTTGAAAAATTGCTACACTTATTCGAGTACAGCAACATTGTAGATTTGCCTGAAAATTAAAATATTCTTGCTTTCTTATCTATTCATATTTCATTATTTTATTGTTTTCAGGTTCGTAATGTTGAATATAAAGATCCTATTGAAGAAGAATGGGAGAAATTTCAAAAAGAGATTAAAGAAGAAACTGCGCAATCTGCACAAATTATTGCTGACGATCAGGAGGAAGCGACAACAGAAAGACAATTAGAGGAAATTGAAGAACAAATTAGGCATTGGTCTAGGTAAATATATTTTTAACATTTATATATTTATATATATATATATATATATATATATATATATATATATATATAATATATATTATATATATATAACGTATACATATTAATTTAATATATATATATATATATATATATATATGTGTATATGTATATATTTTAAATATATATACATGGTATAAGAAGATATAATTGTAAGAAAATGTAATTTTAAATTACTTTTTGAATAAAAGGGTAATGGATCTTGCAAAACGTATGGAACAAGTACAGGGTACAGATAGAAAACAAGAAAATATCGATGATGATGCATCAAGTGATGAAGAAGCCGAATTTGATGAGTTTCTTGATTGGCGAGCTAAGAATTCATATAAATAAAAAGTGGTATGTGTCTATTAATTTTGTAAATATTACTCTTTATCATATTTAGTAGAGATATTTGTATAAAGTTACAAGTTTTGTAATTCATAATTTAATTAAATTTACATTTAATTACATATATCTCTTTTCTTGATTATTATAAGTAAATTATATTGTAGGAATATAACAATAATAAAGATCGAATTATATTTTATATTTGAAAAAAAAGAAATAAATAATAATTATTATTATTATAATAATTGTTATCATTTATAATAAGTATCATTCTTCTAATTAAGGTTTATAGTTAGATTGTTTTTTAGTTACAATTTTCTAACAGCATCTTTGTCAGATGAAATGATCAGAGGGAAAAGTGGAACATTTTAATACAATTAAATTAATATTACATAATACAGTGTATTAAGATTTTATTAAAATGAATTTGAAGAGTCAGAATATAATTGAGGTTTAGGTACATCTGGTATAGATTATTCATCGTCGTAAGCTATATAATATGAAAAGTATGATATAAAGATTACGAAGTATGCTAAGCCACTATAATAAAGTTAGTACAGATAATTACGACATAGGTCACATAATTTGACGTCCATCTTCAATTTGCACATACCAGACATTATAAAATACAGAAAATTGGAGAAAGAGGGCATATATTTTACTCGCACCCCATCTCGTATCTACTAAATATGTTATCAACGCTATCGCGTTCTCAAATCAATTATCTTTGGTATTAATTTCTCGATAATACTTACAATATGATCGCAAGTAAGAGTTCTTTGAGATTCCGGTTGCTGTCTATAACCGTCACTATGCAAATATCCTTAGAGACTATTAACGTAATTAGCATTGTAACATAGAGCTTATACAAATTATTCGTCACGTAAATCAGTATTTACGCTTAGATTAAAGCGGTCTGTACGTCATTG